GCGGCGTTGAACGAATAGCGGCATCAGGAGGTTATGGCAAGTGCGATGGGAACTTGTTTAGAGACTCAGAGTGCCCATCGATCAGGGGCAAGCGGCGTTGAACGAATAGCGGCATCAGGAGGTTATGGCAAGTGCGTGGAAACTTGTTTAGAGACATTAAAAAAAAAAACGTTTGGCTGGCCTATCGGCGCTCCTCCGATTGACTACATATTGATTCGCACAAAACCAGGTGGCCCACAGACTCCATGGCCAGTTCTGTATCCACATCGTTTTTTTTTCAATGTGCATTTGAACACAGACCTGAGATATGGAGCAGCAGGGTTTGTCCGTGCGAGTGAGCATGTTTTGAATTTTGGGATTCATTGAGAAACAGACCATTCGTGCAACGGCATCAATTTTTACCAGAATGCAGGTGGGGAAACGCAATTCCCTTGGGGTTCCATGGTGATGGGGGCGCGTTCAATAGCAATAACAGCTTGTACGCCCTTCACTGGAACAGCTTGATCGTACGCGGCACGACGATGCAAAGAAGATTCCTTTTCGCTGTGATTCAGAAAAGTGAACTTTGCGAGGGTGCGCTTGACGACATCCTCCGTGCTTTCTCCTGGTCGGTAAATGTTTTGCTATCTGGAGAAACGCCTCATTTGGATTGGCAGCGAAGACCGCTCGACGGAGGCGGATCGCCAGTGCGTGGTGGATTCAGGGGATGTTTATTTCAGGTCCGAGGAGATTGGGAGTTCTACACGCAGATATTATATTTTCCATCGTGGCAAGCTTCAGGACGAATGTGTCCGTTCTGCCAGGCTTCTTCATCAAATCACAACCCCCGTTTATGGACTCGCGTTGATAGAGGTGCCCCTTGGCGCGCGTCCCGCTTCGCAGATGAAAGTTTCCGAGAGCACATGCGTTCGCAAGGCCTGCAATTGCCAATTCTGATGTCTTGCGTGCTGGGGTTCCGATTAGAGTGTGTCACCGTGGATCTGTTGCGCGCAATGGATCAAGGCGTAGCGTCACACATCATAGGTTCAGTATTTTGGTATGTAACTAATATTCGCAGTTCATTTGGAGTGGCTCATCTTGCCAGCCATCTGAATGACTGGTGCGCGACCGCAGGCGTCACATCGAAGATCCAGGGAGAATTGAAGAAGGAACGAATCAAAGAGTCTGGTAGTTCATGGGCAAAGCTCAAAGCGAAAGCAGCTGCAACGAGGCATCTAGCGAAATACGCCCTCTTGTTGATGCGGCAATTCGGCGATCGCGATCACCCTGTGTATGGAGAGCACGACCTCATGGCACAGGGGCTGTGCGAACTATTAGTCGAGTTCTGCGGCACAATTTCACGCGAGTCTCTGTTTCTGACGGATGCAACGAAGAGGCGACTGACAGATGTTTCATGTTTGTTTTCCTCATTGTTTGTGAAGCTGGCCAACTTTGCTCATGCGAGAAATCTACTGATCTGGAAACTTTCTGCTAAATTGCACTTGCTGTTGCATCTCATCGAGGACCAGATGCCATATTGGGGCAATTGTCGCTTCTGGTGGACGTATCCAGACGAAGATTTGATAGGCCGCCTGATCAGCATGGCTGATAAGCTTCACCCGAAAACGTTAGGTGTTTCATTGATCTCGAAATGGGTGCTCTGCGTGTTTGACCAGATGCTCATCGAAAGTGAAGGTTGACCAGCGCTTCGCGTGCAAGAGGAAACAAACAATGGTGCAAACGCAATGAACACGCGAACAAAACATAAACCGCATCATACATGTTTTAAATGCAATCGTCATGCTTGTAAAATGCAACAACACATGCGATTAAACAGCGAAAACAAAACATTATGTTTTATTGATGCCTCTTATCTCCTCGCCAGGGTTTAATAATAAACCTTTTGTTCTAATAACGCAACCACTTGATGGTCGGGGCCGAGGCGGCGCCGAGAAAAGGCCATTCAAATACACATTTTTCTTTTGAAAATGCTGAATTTCTGCTTCCAGCGCCAGGGGGGCCTCCCGGGCCGATTCCGACGCCCGGGCTGGCGCCCGAGCCGGCGCCCGGGCCAGACGCCCGAGCCGGCGCTCGGGCCGGCGCCCGGGCCGGGTCCGGAGCCGGTTCCGGCCGGCGCCGGAAAATCGAGTTCCGAGGCGGCGCCGAAAAAGGCCATTCCAATACACATTTTTCCATTGAGAAAGCTCCATTGAGAAAACTGAATTTCTGCTGCCCGGGAAGCCTCCCAGGCCGATTTTGGCGTGCTTCCGCTCGTTCCGAATCGTGCTCCAGCTGCAGCGCTGGCCTCATTTCCGCGCTTCCGCTCGTTTCGACTCGTGCTCCCGCTGCAGCGTTGGCGTCATTCCCCGTGCCATGCCACGGCATGCAATGCAATGCTAGGTTGATACTACGCTTCGCGGTGCTCGTCTACGCCATGCCATGCCGAGCTCTACAATGCATCGCGTACCCTTTCGGGATCATTGCCTTGCTCGACATCCGACTGCGAGTAGAGAGGGGGTCTTCGCCATGGTAAAGGATGGGAGGGAGGGGTAGGATGTCAGATATGACGCGAGCGCACCTAGCTTGTCCCCTCCCCTACCCCTCACCCTCCGCTCTTCCGCCGCTTTCGGGGGCCTCGCGTGGCACCCCGGCCTTTCAGAGGTATTGCCCGTCCAGGCCCGCCCGCAATCCAACACGTAGGGCCGCAGCTCCGAGAGGCGCGGTCGCGCCGCGCCCGAGGGCGGGGCAGAAACAGCAGGAACTGCGCGCGAGGAAGGGCCGGAGGGCGCGTCGAGGCGCCCAAGTCGGGGCTCAAGAGACGGGGGTCGATGCCAACGGGGGCTACGCCTACGCGCTGGAACAAGGGCACGAGGGGCGGAAAGGGTGTGGACGAAGACGGCGGCCCGCCAGGCATGGAGAACGAGTCCTGGCCAGGGCGGCCTCGGCGGGGCTGGCCAACTCCCGATCCGTTGCCTGGAGAAGGGGTCCTCCTCCTCCTCCTCCTCCTCCTCCTCCTCCTCCCTGTTCCTTCTGAGTAACTTCTCCCTGTCGCCCCCCGAGGCCGGTCGAAAGGGCCGGCCAGGCGTTTCGCCTGAGGTTTCTTCACCATGCATGACCCTGAAGCTTAAACATTGGCAACAGTTTCACGGATTGAGGGCGGGTGGTTTTCAACATGTGTCTCTCGCTTTGCCGCCGTGCACACAATACCTATACGACCACCCTGCGGGTGATAAGGAGGTGAGGGGGGAGGGGGAACCAACGTCTCACTCAATCGATCTTGTTATCGATCTCACAATCGATCTCACATTCGATCTCACAATCGATACCACTATCGATCTCGCTATCGATCTCACTATCGATTTCAAAATCGATCTCACAATCGATCTCACATTCGGTCTCACAATCGGTCTCACTGTCGATCTCACTATCGATCTCACAATCGATCTCACATTCGGTCTCACATTCGGTCTCACATTCGGTCTCACTATCGATCTCACTATCGATCTCACAATCGATCTCACAATCGATCTCACATTCGGTTTCACATTCGGTCTCACTATCGATCTCACAATCGATCTCATTATCGATTTTCACTCGGCAATTTTCACTCGGCACCATCATCATAATCATCATTACCATCATCATCTCACAATCGATCTGACTATCGATCTCACAATCGATCTCACTATCGATCTCACAATCGATCTCACATTCGGTCTCACTATCGATGTCACAATCGATCTCACAATCGACGTCATCATCATCATCATCATCATCATCATCATCATCATCATCATCATCATCATCATCATCATCATCATCATCATCCATCATCATCCATCATCATCATCATCATCATCATCATCATCATCATCATCATCATCATCATCATAATCATCCACATCATCATCGGGACACCGACGGGACACCGACGGGACACCAGCGGGACACCGGCGGGACACCGCGCGCCACCGGCCGCCCGGAAGAGACACATTTGGTCCGGCCGCGGCTCAGCCACAGGGACACCGACGGGACACCAGCGGGACACCGGCGGGACACCGCGCGCCACCGGCCGCCCGGAAAAGACACATTTGGTCCGGCCGCGCCTCAGCCACAGGGACACCGACGGGACACCAGCGGGACACCGGCGGGACACAGCGCGCCACTGGCCGCCCGGCGGAGAATCAGTTGGTCCGGCCGCGCCTCAGCCACAGGAGACTTTCCTCTCGCCCGCCCACGCAGCTTCGCCTCGCTCGCACGGCACGCACGAACACGAAACCGAAATCGATTTCCCGGTAGGGGGGTTCTCCGTTCCACTTCGATCTCACCCCCTCACCTCCGATAATACAACAAAGCAAACACAACAAAGCAACAACAAACAAACATAACACACATCTGTAAGAGTTTAAGGGACTCAGGGCGGGCCGTTTTCAACATGTGGATCTTGCCTTAGCGCCGCGCGTATTCGTAACAGCTGATCCACTAGTTTTGCGGGTTCAGGGTGGCTCCTTTTCAAAATGTGGCTCTCGGTTCATTCGTATCAGGAAATGCAAGAATTTTACGGATTCCCCAGAACTTGCATTCAGGAGTGAATCAGGATTGCCAGGGCGCAACAGTTACGTTGATTCGCGGTGTTCAAGTCCCATGAAAGGTGTTCTGGCACGATTCAGGATCGTCAGGACGCAAGAGTCAGGTTGATGATTTGTTCGAGTTCCGAGAATGGTGTTTTGGGACGCTTCAGGATCTTCGTACGTAATACGGTTATCTCCCAACGGGGCACTTCCCTCAGTGGAAATTAACCCTTGTAGAGGCCTGCTGAAGAGGGAGATTGCAGGGAGGGTTTGTTCCAACGTCGTTGACGGGTCTTGGATTTACACCGGTCCTCCTCCTCCCCCCTCCTCCTCCTCCTCCTCCTCCTCCTCCTCCTCCTTCCCCTCCTCCTCCTCCTCCTCCTCCTCCTCCCCCTTCCCCTCTTCCTCCTCCTCCTCCTCCTCCTCCTCCTCCTTCCCCCCCCTTTAACTGGCTCCTCGCTGCGCCCGGTGCGTGTGGCCCGCCCCATTGGGCGGGCCCCAGAGTCCTGCGGCGCCAGAGGAGGGCCATGGCGGAGCGTCGGGGCCGGAGGCAGTGCGAGCGGGGGTCAGCCAGAGCGCCCGGTCTTGCAGGATGCTGCGGGGCCAGGGGCGCAGTGGCCCGGGCCTGGGTGCAGGAGCCCGCAGGACCTTGCAGGATCCTTCGCGTTGACCCGGGTTTGGGTGCAGGAGCCTGCAGGCTCCTGCAAGGCTCGGCTGACCCGGGTCTGGATTCACCCGGGTCAGAAGGTCCCCGACAGAGGAGCCATGACGGAGCGTCGAGTCCGCCGGTCTTGCGCCGCGTTGCGCACGTGTGCTGGGCCTGCTCGGTTGGGTGGTGATCGTTTCTGTTTTTCGTTGTCTTGCCGATCGGCGTGGGCCCCAATCCCCCCCCTCCCCCCTCCTGGAGTAGATCTTTTGGCTGTTTTTTGGCGCCTGTTTCGAGCAGGTGGGGTCTCCCCCATAGGACGCACGGTTCCAACCAGTCGCACTAAGCAGAGGTCTGGAGCCGGACCTCCCCCCCCTTCCGCCCAATGTCGAAACGCCGAATAAAGGCAACGCTCACTCGTTCGGCGGCAAGCCCAGATGGGGAAGCGGTCTGCCGAGAGGCTTCCTGAGCCTCCTCCGAAGCTGCAGAGGCCTTCTCAGAAGGCCCCAGGGCTCCTCACAAGCCCGGCCGCCTCCTCCGAGGGCCTTGAAACCAGCGCCTCGCTCGAGACCCAGAGCTCCGATGTCGTGATTTTTTCAATACGGGGTCCCCAGAAGTCTCGACCCACTCCCCAGGACCGGTTTCTCATCCTGAGTCGTTTTCTGACGGCCCCGGGGCCCGGCGAGGGCCCCTCGAGGCCGAAAATTGCGAAAAACCTGCGTCTTGATTTTTTCAATACGTTGGATCTCTGGGGACATCCTCACACTCCGCTCTGAAACCCGGACGGATCTGGGCGTCCAAACAGACAGGCAACCCGCCTGAGGCGCCCCCCACAATCTGGGCGCGAGCGGGCCCGCGAGAGCACCCCATGGCGGCTCCCCCCTGGGCCTGCCGAGACCGGCGCGCCTCGCCCGAGGCGTCCTCACAGTCTGCTGAGCAGACGAGTCTCAGGAGGGAAAAAACACACAGACACAATTAATCGTCGATTCCCAGGAAAATATGGGAAAATATGGGAAGTGGGGGGGAAGACAAAAACCCAGAAAATATAGGAAAATATGGGGAATTGTTTTATTTGTGTGTATTTATTTGTGTGTCCTGGGGCGCCTTCAGTCTGGGCACCCACCTTCGGGGGTGGACAGAACCCCCAACAGTGACACGTCGATTAGTGAGTTGTCCGTTTTCGGTTCTCGAGAGGGCGCCGTGGCCGTTGTTTTCCAGGCTTGCGCCCGCCAGGTTTGGGCCTCAGGTCGTTTTCACCAAACCACGTTTTACTAAAGGGAGGTCTGTCCATCCCCGACACCTGCCCCCCCCCCCCCGGGCGCGCCGCCGAAGGCTGCCCCTCCCGAGCGCCGTGGAGTCCTGGCGCGCCTCGCGCGCCCGCTGCTGCGCGCGCCGGCCGCGGGCGCGCTCGGCCGCGGGCTCCCCGCTGGCGCAGGGGCGATGCTGCGGCCCTGCTCCATCCCGCGGGCGACTCGTGAGCACCGCGCCGCGTGGGCGTCACCTGAGGCGGTGTCGCCCCGCGCCCCGGGAGTGGTCGGGGTGCGTGGTGTCTCGTTTCTCAGCGCCGGAGGACTATGCTTAAGTCGGGCGTGTCCCTCTACAGGAGGAACATGCAAACATAGTATCAAAATAGTCTGGGGAGGATTTTCCTAGTATTTTTTCACTGTTTGTGAATATTTTTTTGAGTATTTCTTATGTCTCATCCCAAATCCGCCTGTAGGGGGACATGCCCGCCCTGAGACTATGTACCCTACCGCGCTGGAGCCCGGCCCGGAGTCCAGGCATGGCACGGTGCGTGTGCGCCGTTCTCGCAGCCGCCATTGCCTTCCGTGTGGGGGGTGTCGTCCTCGACGTGGCCCTGGGCCGCAGGGCAGCCCCTGCGCTTCCCAGGGAGACGCGGGTGGCCGGCAGCGCACACTCCCAGCGAGGTGTCGGGGGTGGACAGACCTCCTACCCTGACACATCGATTAAGAAATCGGCCGTTTTCGGCTCGCAAGAGGGCGTCGCGGCCGTCATTTTTGCGGGTCCAGGTCCGTCGGTTTCGGTCCCAGGCCGTTTTCACTAAGGGGAGGTCTACTAAAGGGAGGTTTGTCCACCGCCGAAGGTGCAGAGGGGCCCCGACGGCCCCCGAGTGGCGCGAAGAGGTGCTGAGCATCTCGGGGCGGGGCCACTTCTGGCAGCGCCCGACTCGTACCACTTAAGTCGGGCCTGTCACTCTACAGGAGGAAGATTCAAAGATAGGCAGAACATAGTCCAGGGACGATTTTTGGAGCATGTTTTGACCATTTTGGAGTATTTTTTGTATTAAACAATGATATATATATGTATATATATATATATATACATATGATATATATATATATATACACACATTATTTTCGCCCAAAGCCCGCCTGTAGGGTGACATGCCCGACCTGATCGTACCACCCTGGAGGCAGGGCCCTCGCCTGCAGCACACGAGCAGGGGTGCTGGTGCTGGGGGACCCCGTGCTGCTGCCAGTGGCACGCGAGGCAGCTCGTGCAGCGACTCGGGCGCCCCACGAGCCCGTACGGGTGGGCATCCTGTCCTCGGCAGCGTGCCAACTCAACGGCACAGCTGAGGACAAATACAGTCAACCCGCACAGTAAGGATGAGCGACTTCTCAAGGGTACCCTTGCATCCTTGCCTCGTCGGTCATCTTCGGCCAACCCTCAACCACTTTCGAAGGCCAGCCCCGCTCGAAGAGCCTCGGCATGGTCGTCCAAGGTCCTTGCATCCTTACCGCGCATCCTTACTGTACGGGTTGACTGTACAAACTTGTGTCTGGAGGACTGATAATTTTCAGCGCTGTTAGGTGCCTGAGCGCCTGACCTGGAGGACGCGATACGAGATCACAGGCCAGCCTGGGGAGATCCTGAGGCGAGGTGCCGTTGGAATAAACGTCGCCTTCCTGATGTTCCCTTAGATCCTCCCCCAGCTGGGCCGGCCCGAGGCTTCCCCAGCGCCGCTGGAGTATTTCACAGTTTCGCCACAGGGAGACCATTTAAAACATCGAAGATAAACATACACGTTCGACGCTCCGCGCGTATTTCTTGGACTGGCGCTAGGCCACCCTGGTGGCGCTGGTAATCCAAGAAATCCGCGCGGAGCTCCGACGGTTGATGTTTACGCAGCTCTTTGTCCTTTTGATCGTGCACGACAAATCCACAGCATGGTGATACTGGGTCATTGCGAGGCTCATCCAAGGCCCGATCAACCTTTTCGTACATCATGGGCCATGGGGCAACATTCGGGGGGATAGGCTCAGGTGGGGATGCAGCGACCCCTAATCGCCCATGCATCACCGATAGGGGCTCGATAGCTACATCTACCCAGGACCGTGCGGATTCGCAATCGGGGGCCTATCGCCGAGGAGGAGGAGGAGGATGAGGATGAGGATGATGAGGAGGAGGAGGAGGAGGAGGGGGTGAAGGATGAACAGGAGGAACAGGAACGAAATGAGGACAATAACGATGCGGACGGCGAGGAGCAGGAGGACGAGTAGGACGAGTCGTGCTCTCAGGCTTGGTCGTGGTAGTAGTCGTAGGAGGAGAAGGCGGAGGCGGAGGCGGAGGCGGAGGAGGAGGAGGGGATACTGCAGCGTTTCCCGCGAAAGCTCTGCATTGCCCTCCACCCAGCCCTCCCACCCTCTCTTCTCTCCTGTTCTCCTCTCCTTTCTTCTCCCCCCCGCCTCCCCCTCCTCTTTCCCATCCCCTCCTCGTTTCCTCCACCCCCCTCCGTCCCTTCACTCCCCTCCCCTTCCCATCCCTTCCTCCCCGTGTCTCCCTCACCTCCCATCTTTTCCTGTATCTCCCCATCTTCGCCTCAATCCCTCTCTCCGTTGTTTGGTCCGTTACCGCCCCCCCTCCTGGACCCGCCACCTCCCTCGTGGTCGTCATCCTTCTCCTCCTCATACGCCTACTCCTCTTTCTCTTCCTCCTCCTCTCCTTCTGCTGCTTTGGCAGTTGCGATTGGATGATGAGGATGCGGCTTCAAGCTGACCGATCGCATCCATACCATTGGTCTGTGCCTAGTCTGTTCAGGGGTGTTCATGCGGAGCGTCTTGCATGGTTCGAGGAGGGGACGGGTGAGGCGGGATGTGATGACGGACAAGAGAATTGATGGAAGGGAGGAATTGAAGGATATCGTCGGGCTGAAGAAGCGGAGAAGGAGCAGGGGGAGGAGAGGGATACATGATGATGATTCTGATGATGCTTGTGATGGTGGTGATGATGATAACGATACTGCTGATGAAGATGATGGTGATGATGATGCTGATGATGCTGCTGATGATGATGCGGATTATGATGCTGATGTTGATCATGTTGATGGTGGTGCTGACGATGATGATGTTGCTGCTGATGATGGTGATGATGCTGATGATGATGCTGCTGCTGCTGATGATGATGATGATGATGACGCTGCCGATCTGATGATGGTGAGGCTGCTGCTGATGATGATGGTGCTGACGATGGGGATGTTCAGGGTGATGGCGATGCTGAGTTCGATCATGCGTATGCTGATACAGATGCTGGGGATGCGGATGTCGACGATTGTGACGATGGTGTTGCTGATGCTGATGAGTAGTGATGGTATAGCAGAGGAGAATGCACACTACGCGACGCTGCATTCTGATGATAACAATGATCACGATGGCGATGCTGATGCTACTCAGGACGATACTGGCGATGTTGATGCTGATGCTGATGATGCTGATGACGATGCTATTGACGATGATGCTGCTAATGATGCTGCTGCTGCTGATGATGATGATGCTGATGATGATGATAATGATGATGGTGGAGACACTGATGATGCTCACGATGCTGATGATTATGTTGATGACGATGGTGGTGATGGTGCTGTTGCTGATGATGCTGCTGCTGATGATGATGATGATGATGATGATGATGCTCATCATCATGTATAGGGTGATGATGATGCTGCTGCTGATGACCATGATGCTGATGATGGTGCTGATGACGATGCTGATGATGATGATGATGATGATGATGATGATGCTGATGATGACGATGCTGATATGCTGGTTATGACGATACTGATGATGCCGATGACGACGGTGCTGATGCTGCTGATGAGGATGATGGCGATCATGATGCTGATGTCCATCATGATGCTGAGTGTGATGACGATGGTGGTGGTGATGATGATGATGGTGGTGCTGGCGATGATGATGTTGATTATGAGGATGCTGATGATGGTGCCGATGCTGATGATGGTGATGATGCTGATGCTGATGATGATAATGGTGCTGATGCTGATGCGGATGCTGTTGCTGATGTTGCTGATGTTGCTGATTATGATGATGCTGTTGCTGCTGATTATGATGATCGTTATGTTGTTGTTGATGTTGAGGTGGAGGATTGTGATGGTTGTGCTGATGATGGTGACGATGCTTGTGTCTGTTGTGACCATGACGGAGATGATGGTGATCATGAGGGACGGTCGATGCAAGAGAACAGGCCGCTCTTCCCCCCTCCTGTGGCCGAGGAGAAGGAGGACCTGGAGGCCAAGATCGAGTCGATCGAGGAGGCCATCAAGAAATACACCGAGGACCTCGACCCCTGCTGTAGAGGAACACAAGAACTGCACCACCATAAACTTTTGGAGGCCCGCGCGGATTTCGCAGATCGTTGCCAGAGCCTCCTGGCGTCGCTCCTGTCAAGTTTCGCGCGCCAGGGCATGGGGGTCCAGCGCTGATTGAACGAATCGGCGCGGCGCCGTTCCAAGGAATCCGCGTGGACCTTTGCAATCGGGAAGGAAGAGTACCTGTCACCATGCCGTTCTTCCGTTTTTGTCCATGCGTGCCGTTTCAGCAGCAGCGCGCTGATCGGCTCGCCACGGCGGCGACTCATTGATGCTGTTTTTGCCAGATTTTTTTTTTTGTTCGATGCGGGGTCCCTGCAAGTCCCGAACCTTTCCCCAGGGCTGGCTTCTCATCGTGAGTCATTTGTTCGTTGGTCCGGGGGCTTGGTGAAGGCCCACAGAGGCCGAAATTGACGAAAGCCGTATGTCGTCTTTGGCAATACGATGGGTGCCTGGCCACCAAAATTTGTGCCTGTGGCGCTCTTCTCTCGGCGTCACCCCAACATACTTATACTACATGTGCGTCGTCCCCCCAGGGGCGACGCGCGCACCGAGAAATAGTATAGTATATGCGTCGTGGCGGGCGCTTTCTGGCCACACCGCTCGGGAAGCGAGATACTACAAGATGGGTATACTATATGTTCGGGTTGGACGCGCGCCTCCAAGGAGGACATATAGTATTAGTATGTCCCTGTGCGTCCCATTCTCCTTCTTGGATGCTCCCCCGCTCGGTCATCTCTCGAAGGGCCATCCCTCGCCGTCAGGGTCCCGATGGCCTGCCCCGGCCTGTAGCGCGCAGCTCCGCTATCGACAGATCGGCGGTGTGTCGCCGCTTCCAGTGTTCCCCCCTCCTCCTCCTCCTCCTCGTCCTCCTCCTCCTCCTCCTCCTCCTCCCCCCTCTCCTCCTCCCCTCTCCTCCTCCTCCTCCTCCGCCTCCTCCTCCTCCTCCCCCTCCTCCTCCCAGCTCCTCCTCCTCCTCCTCCTCCTCCTCCTCCTCCTCCTCCTCCTCCTCCCCCGAGCCAGTCCCCTCTGGCCGTTCCCCCCCCAGCCTTGGGCAAATTGGGGGGCCCCCAAACGGTGCGGTGACCACACCGTGTGGTGAGTCGGTGAGGTGACCGCACGGTTTTGGGACTTGGGGGTCGTTCTCCGAGGACGTATCGAGCGATTGGGCCTGCCAGCGTCCCTGAAACGGTTCGGTGGCGGACCGTGCTATGAGGTCTTCGGGGATCTCGAGGTCACCGTGCGGTCTGTCGCAGCACAGTTTCGGGACCCGCAGCCAACGCGGACCCAGGAGGACTGTCCTTCCATCCTGGACTGCCCTTCGCATGCCTTGCGTGCGCGGTCACGTCGGACTACTGCCCCCCCGGCATCCTGCATATTACTGCCCGTGTAAGCTTGTGTAAGCCGTGTAAGCCTGTGCAAGCATGTGCAAGCCTGGGTAAGCCTGCGTTTGGTTCGCTACCCGTGTAAGCCTGTGCTTCGACACGCACGTGCCAGATCTTCGCGGTCTGAGGGTGCTCCGCCGCCCGCGGCTTTCGCCGCTCCCCCCCCGCGCCCCCCCCGCGTTTTTTTTTTTTTTTTTTTTTTTTTTTTTTTTTTTTTTTTTTTTTTTTTTTTTTTTTTTTTTTTTTTTTTTTTTTTTTGTTTTTTTGTTTGTTTGTTTTGTTTTGTTTTTTGTTTTGTTTGGGTTTTCCTTTTTTTTGTTTGTTTTTTACCCCCCCCGGTTTTGTTTGGGTTTTCATTTTTTTTGCTTGTTTTATTTTTTCCCCGCGTGCCCATTTCGCCGCGGCTGCGTCCCGCGGTGGTCTTAGCGGCGCCTGGGACCCGCGCCGCCGGCGGCACGACGGAGCGCCGCCAGGAGATCGAGGAGGCGCAGGCGAAGATCGCCAGGAACGAGAAGGCGATGAAGGAGGCGAGCCAGGCGCGCGAGGCGGCCCCGCGGCCCCCCCGGGGGGCGGGCCTCCAGCGGCGCGGGCGGCGTGCCCGCTTTCTCTCCAGGGCGGCGGCGCGCGCGGCGGCCGCGCGCAGCGTAGCCGCTGTGCTTCCCTCGAAGGAGGGCGAGGTGCATCCGGCAGCAGCTCGTGGGAGTCCTGTTTGTCCTCGCACAAGGGCGCCCTCGAGGGCGCGAAGTTATTCGCGCTTCGCGCTTCGCGGTTCGGCTCCGATTCCTCCTCGTCCTCCTCTTCTCCCTTGGGAGGCGGCGCGAGAGCGCGAAGTTATTCGCACTTCGCGCTTCGCGCAGCGCGAAGCGCGAAGTTGGGAGCCCTTGTCGCAATTCCGTCTTCAGAGTGCACTGGCGTGCGCTCGCGTCTGGCAGTCGATGAGAAGGCGTGGATTCGCGCTCGTCGACTAGCGTCGATGTAGCGTCGCCTTAGCGTCGGAGCAGCGTCGCAAGAGCTCACAAGATGGTATGGGAGGCTCCCGACAGATCGAAGAACAAAACGCCATAAACATAATTTTTTGGTGCTCCGCGCGGTTTCCTTGGATCCGCGCTGGCCCCCCCCCGCGGCGCCTCCGGTGCCACCCCTGGCGCGCTCCGCGCACCAGGTAGGGGGTTCGGCGCAGATCCAACAAATCCGCGCGGAGCGTCAAAAGTTTCTGTTCATGTCGTCTTGCTTTCTTCTTGCAGAAGGCTCCGACTGGCGCCCCTCGAGGAAGGACAAGGTGCAGAAACATCAGCCTTTTGGAGGTTCGCGCGGGTTTCCTGGGCCGCCCGCCCCTTTCATCCTCTTTCCCATGCTCGGTGCGCCCTGTGAACAAAGCTCGACGGGCGGCTTTGGGCCGTTTTCGGAAGTCGGGCGTGTCTACAGGAGGAATAACTGTGCAAGGATAGTAGCGAAAATAGTCTGGGGACGATTTTTTTTATATGATTTTTTCGACTATTATTATTTTCTTCCAAAATCCGCCTGTCGGAGGACATGCCCGATCTAATCCTAGACTCGGGACCGTCCAGCAACGACCCAGGATGAAAAAAAGGCGGTCCCGGGGAACAAAAATCAGCACCGCCCAAGCATACCTTCGGGAGCTGCCGCGCCCCCGGCCCGATGGTACCCCTGGCTTTCCGCTCCACTCTTGGAGCCCCTGGAGCCTCCTGGGCCTCGTGAGGAGTGCTCTGGAGGCCGAGGGGGCCTCCCTGGAAGTCCTGGGGGCACCTCTGGCATCGGGGGCGGCCAAGAGGGGGGCGATGACTAGGGGGGGGGGGGGGTCGACATCATGGCGGGGGCCATGATGTCTCCCCAGACTTCGTGTCGCCTCTTCTTGTTTCATTGCCTTCCCTGGCCCCCCCCCCGCTGGGCCGCGCACGTGCCGCTGGCCATGATTTGCACCCCCCCCCTCGTGGACGCCCCCCTCCTGGCCGCCCCCGATGGCAGCACCCGACGCCTTCCCTCGGCGTGCGCGCTGGCCCACCCGTGGGGCGCCCGCGCGCGCCGCGGAGTCTCTTGCCGGTGCGCTCGGTGGCGGGTGCGAGATCTGGCCATGCGGCCCGCCTCGGTGGCGGTGTGCTGCGCCGTGCGAGCACCCAGGCAGGGTCGCGTCGTAACAACAAAAAGTCGGGACGGGAGGTTTTTCGCTCTTCTCGGCCCCAGGAGGCCCTCGCCGGGCTTCGGGACCGTCGCAAAACGATGCAGGACGACAAGCCGGTCCCGGGGAAAGGGTCGGGACTTCTGGGGACGCCGTCCTGAAAAAATCTGGGTGTCGCATGTTCGGGTATGTACATTTATGTGTAGATATACATATATCTAGACATATCTGTATATACATAGGTATATACATACATACATACATCCATCCATCCATCCATACATACATACATACATACATACATGCATGCATGCATGCATACATACATACATACATACATACAAACAGACAGACAGACAGACAGACAGACAGACAGACAGACAGACAGACATACATACATACATACATACATACACACATATATATATATACACATACATATTCCTCGTCCTATATTTTTATAAGCCTGGGCGGGGGGAAAACCCGTCACCCCCCCCCCAAAACCGGATTCCCGGGATTTGGGGCTTTGGGACCCTCCAGACGGGCCTTGAAGCGGCCACCGGGCCTCGCAGGGCGTTTTGCCAAGCCTTCCCAGCTCACCTAGGGCGATCAGGGGGGTCATCGGAGACGTCCCAGAGACCTCCGAGACAGCACAAGAGCGCTCCGAGAGTGACCGACGTGACCTCAAGATGGCCCAAGAGGCCTCCAGAACGGCCCCAAAGAGGTCTCCAAGAGCACTCCCAAGAAGGCCCCCCGAGGCAATCATCATTGACTTTCTATGGGTTTTTGGTGAATTTTGGGGTTCTCCTCTTTTCGGCTTCCCGACGCTCCAAGACGGCGGTCCTCTGGGCGTCCGAAGCCGCCTGGGAGGCTCCCAAATCGCCCCACAACCATCCAAAAGGGCTTCCAGGCAGTCCAAGAGAGCCCCAAAACAGCACAACACGGGTCCAAGATGGCCCAAAGACACCCTCCGAAGAATTCCAAATCGTGATTCGGTCGTTCAGGGAGACCGCGGTTGGAGGCAGGGTGGCCCGAGGAAGCCCCCAGAGGCCTCCAGAATACGCCCAGGAGGTCTTCAGAAGGCCTTAAGAGGCTCTCCAAGGAGGAGTCTCCGCAACAAAGAGCTGAGGAGGATGGGAAGAATGCGCAGGGTATGGCGAAAATAATGAAACCGAAGCATGGAGGAAGGACAACTAATGACATTATTATAGCGGCGTTCCCGGAAAAGGCAACCAGGAGTTATCGCTGAATTGTCGGCTTGACCTTCCTGCTATTCCGCCTGCGTACCAAACTTCAAGGATCAAGGTGCATGGCGCGAAGCGCCACTGCAGTCTTGTGTGTATATATATATATATATATGCATGTTTGTGTGTGGGGGCCATACAGTGGGGGCCCATGCCAAGAAACATCTTGCTTGCCTCCAGGGGGCCCTGGGTTTCTTGGGTTTCGGTAGTTTTGCCATGGAGAGCGTAACGCTCCCACCAAACATCAAAGGACGCCCTGGGGTCTCAGGGTTGGGCTTCTTGTTGAAAGTTTCTTGTGGACTGGCCTCCACTGTATATGCTCGGTTCGGACGAGTTCGATGGCAAATCTTGGGAGCCTTGTGTGCCTTCCTAATTCCGTCCTCAACGTCGAGTGGACTCGGCTATCGTCTTGTAGTCGATTAGGTAGCGCCGATTTAGCGTCGATGAGCGTCGACTGGCGTTGATCAGCTTCGATTTAGCGTCGATTGGCGTCGATCAGCGTCGAAGAGCGTCGATTCGCAACAGCCAGCAAGAGATGGGAGGCTCCCATGAGTTGCCACCGCATATCGGCCACGCGCAGATGGGATGGGGGTTAGGGGGAGGGGGGAGGGCTTCTGAGAAGCCTTCCCCCCTCCCCCCCTGCGCCCCCCCCCACCCTTGTGCGCTTCCGGGGGGGGCGTATACAGTTGAGGCCCATGCCAAGAACACCCCGGCTGCCTCCAGGGTGCTCTGGGTTTCTCGGGTTTCGGTGGTTTCGCGATGGAAGGCGTGACGTCCCCACACCAGAGAACGACGGACGCTCTGCTGGGGTCTCAGGGTTGGGTTTCTTGTGGAAGGCTTCTTGCGGACTGGCCTCCACTGTGCATGCTCGGTCCGGACGTGCTCGGTGGCAACTCTTGGGAGCCTCGTGTGCCGTCCTGACTCCGCCCCAAACGTCGAGTCGACTCGGCCAGCGTCTTGTAGTCGACTAGGTGGCGCCGCTTTGGCGTCGAGGAGGCAGCGCCGATTCAGCGCCTCGTGTGCCCTCCTGACTCCGCCCCCGACGTCGAGTCGACTCGGCCAGCGTCTGGCAGCCGATCTCGGGCCTGGGAGGGAGGGAGGGAGGGAGGGAGGGAGGGAGGGAGGGAGGGGAGGGGAGGAGGAGGAGGAGAGGAGGAGGAGGAGAGAGGAGGAGGAGGAGGAGGACGTGGACCCGGCCTCCGCCTGCCCTGCCGCGGGCCCGGCCTCCGCCTGCCCTGCCGCGGGCCCGGCCTCCTGCGCTGCCGCGGAGGCCCCGGCCTCGGGGGGCCCGCGCCGCGGCCTCGGCGAGGGGGGCGGCGTCGGAGCTCCCCGGGCCTCTCCGCCCCCCCCCCCCGGGGCTGCTCCTCTCTCGCGCCCGTCGGGGGGCTCCTCCTCCCCCCCCCCGGGCTCCTCCGGGCCTCTCCCCCCCCCCCGGGCTCCTCCTCTCGCTCCCGTCGGGGGGGGGAGGGGGGGAGGATGGGGCGAGGCGAGGGGGGGAGGGAGAAGGACGGAGCACAAGACTCTTGTGACGAGAGAGAGAGAGAGAGGGAGAGATCAGCAGGAGGGGGGGCCTCTCAGCGGCGAGCGAGGGGGGGGAGAGGAGAAGGCGGAGGCCCTCTCAGAAGGCGGCGGGGGACTCCTCAGAAGCCCTCGCGCCTTCTGAGTTTTTTTTTCTCTGTCTTCGGGGAAGGTTTGGAAAACATCTCAACGCCATGGGAAGGGATTGGAGGGAGGGATCGGATGTCAGATGAGGCGCGTGCGCACTTAGCGCGCCCTCTCTCTATCTCTTTCCCTCTCTCCCTCTCTCCCTTCCCTCTGTCTCGCTCTCGTTTTTTTTTTTTTTTTTTTTTTTTTTTTTTTTTTTTTTTTTTTTTTTTTTTTTTTTTTTTTTTTTTTTTTTTTTTTTTGTTTTTTTGTATTTTTGTTTATCTCTCTCTCTCACTCTCTCCCCCTCTCTATCTCTTTTATTTGTTTTCCCTCTCTCTCTCTCTTCTGCTCTCTTTCTCACACTCTCTCTCGATGCTATGTTTCCCTATTTTTTGTTGCTTCACTCTCTCTCTCTCTCTCTCTCTCTCTTTGTTGTTTCGCTCAAACGCTTTTCTTTATATCAACAGTTCAGTTTATTTATTTAGATGTGTGTGTGTGTCTCTCTCTCTCTCAATCCTCTCTCTCTCTTGCCTCCCTCCCTTCCTCCACCCCCTCCCCCACCGCTCTTGTTACCGTAGCCATTTTGGCTCAAGCCATCTTGGCCCAGAAGCGCGCTAGCAGCAAGTCTCTCCGCTCGTTCGCCTTCCAAGAGGAGGGCGGCAGCGGTGCACGATGGCGCTCGCCACCGACGGCGCTGCGGGAGCTCGCCGCAGACGTTCCGTGGGGGTGCTGCTTGCCCTGTGCACGCTACTGGGATGGCGCTGTGGTGATTCTGCCGGAGCGACCAGCCGGGCGCGCGGAGCGGCGTTCTTCAGCTTTGGGCCGCCGGGCCCAAGCGCGCGGGCCAGCCACATCTCGAGGATGCAAAAGTTGCATGAACACATCTGTTCGTACACCTTAGGCGATGCTTAAGAAAACTCAAGTTTTCGGCCATAGTCTCGATTATTCTTAACGTCTCAATGTAAATCTTACGATTTTAGTGGAAATGTTGGGTTTTTATTCAAGTTCTGAGACTATGAATTTCTTAACCCATGATTTCTTAAGCATTTCGCAGGGTGTAGTTCCGCGTGGGTTTCTTGGATCGGCGCCCGGCCCCCCTGGCGGCGCCTCTGGCACCGCCCCCCGGCACGCTCCGCGCGCCATCCACGGGGGCCCGGCGCCGATCCGAGAAGTCCGCGCGGAGCTCCGGAAGCTCGTGCTGGTGCCGCTGCTTGCTCCTCCACGCGTCCTGGTGAAGACGGAGTCCGAGGCCCGGGAGCTCCTCAACCAGCTGGGCAGCGCGCCGTCCTACAGGGAGTTCGGCGCGTTGGCCTCCAAGCTTGGCGGCTTCAAGATGGGCTCCTGCTGAGGGATGGGGCCCCGAGAACGGGAGAGGGGTCCCAAGCTCCGAGTAGGAGATCGACTGCAGAATTGATTCACCTCAGAATTGATTTCCCCGTCGGATCTGCGGAACGTATGTAGCATTCGTAGACTCGATATCCATTCTTCGGATTTTCGCAGATTCGGCGAAAATGCAACCTTGGGATAAATCAATTCTGTAGTCGATCTCCTACTCGAAAGCTGAACCGTCACTGTTTTAGGCCGCTCTTCCTTGGAGCCCCATCCCTCATGGCCTCTTTCCAGACATCCGTCGGTCTGACTTTTCAATCCCTGGCCCCAGAAGCCCCGACCGCTTCCCCTGGGGTGGCTTTTCGCCCCAGATCCATTTTTGATGGCCCCCGGGCCCGGAAATCGTCCCCGAGGGCCGAAATCGACGAAAACCCCAGGGCCCCATTTTTGAACCGCCGACGAGCACTCGACGTGCCCGTCGGGGGCCAAGTGGGGCGACCTCGGCAGTTTCGAGCCGGGGCAGATGGTGCCCGAGTTCGACGCTGTCTGCTTCGACGTGGGCCAGCCCCTAGCCGTGCCCATCGGCCCAGTCCAGACGCAGTTTGGCTATCACATCATCTGGGTCGAGGAGCGCTCCGGCTGAGTCTATCGTCGAGGGCGGCCAAGATCGAAGGAGAAAAAAGGCATAAACATAAACTTTCGGGGTTCTGCGCGGATTTCTTGGATCGGCGCTTGGCCCCCCTGGCGGCGCCTCCGGCGCCGCCCCTGGCGCGCGCTCCGCGCGCCGTAGAGGGGCGGGGGCGGGTCCAGCGCCGATCCAAGAAGTATGCGCGGAGCTCCAAACGTTACTTTGCTTTTGCAGTTTTCGGGGAGGCTCCCGTGGGTTGCCACCGAAGGGGAGGGGGAGGAGGAGGAGGAGGAGGAGGAGGAGGAGGAGGAGGAGGAGGAGGAGGAGGAGGAGGAAGGGGAGAGGGAGGAGGTGGCGGAGGCGGAGGCGAGGCGGAGCGGAGGAGGCGGAGGAGGGGCGGAGGCGGAGGCGGAGGCGAGGATGAGGAAGAGTGAGGAGGAGGAGGAGGAGGCAGGGAGGAGGAGGAGGAGGAGGAGGAGGAGGGAGGGGAGGAGGGAGAGGAGGAGGGGGGAGGAGGGGGAGGCAGGGGGAGAGGATGAGGGGAGGAGGAGGAGGTGGAGGAGGAGGAGGAGGAGGAGGAGGAGGAGGAGGAGGAGGAGTTCATGGTTCATGGTTATGTTTTTTTTTCCCCTTCCTCTACAAGATGGGGACGGGGTCGGCGGCAGGGCCGCCGTCGTCTCGGCTGGCCCCCCCTCGAGTTCGGCGGCGCCGTGCGGTTCGGGCATGAGGCTTGCCAGCATTTTCGCTCGCGTGGGCGCAGCCCGTGCTTGGGCCTGGGATCGGGGGCAAGGCTATGGGGGGGGGGACAGGCCGGAGGTTCGAGGTCTTCGGGCGATCTCGTCGGTTCTCGGCTGCTCTCCAGCCTCGGGATGCCGTCCAGCGGCTTCGCCTCGCCGAGAGCCCTCCGAGGGTGCCCGGATCGTCCCGCACGGAGCGCGTCGGCCCCCCGTCGCTCGCACAGAGCATCGCCCGCAGGGGCCCGACAGCCCACCCCGCCCAGGAATGTGCGGATTCGCTGTCGGGGCCCGTCGCCGCTCTGGCGGCGATGGATCGCCGATACCACTCGATGTTCTCCCCCCCCCCCCCACCCCACCCTTTGCCAGCCCCCCCCCCCCCTGTCGCAGGCGATCGCAAGCATGGATCAAGGGGGCGTGGATCAGCGACGGGTCCCATTTCCATGGGAGATCGCGGATTTCCGCCGCCGAGCGAGGCGGCCCCGCCCGCATTTTGGGGAGGGCACCTCCCCAGATCCATGGATTTGGCGACCGCGCGCCAAATCCATGGATCGCTAATCCATGTTTGCGCGCCCCCAACTGACGTTCCCCTCATGGGAGGGTCTGCCAGCTGCCCGCCCGCCCTCGTCGAGCAGCCGGCGCGTGCCTGTTTTTTCGCCGCCCCTGCGCCGCCAGCGGCCACGGAGAGGCCGGCTCGGAGCTGCGACGCGGAGCTGTGGCAGAACAGCCTTTGTTGGACGAAGAGGGAGGTGAGCTCTCTCGCCAGCAATTGAGGGACGAAGATGACCATGATGTCGCGGGACCAAGGTGTCGCGATATTTTGTCGACGCCGATGCTGGTCAGGGTCGATGCCGGCCCTCGCCGATCGCGAGGATGACTGTTGAGCTGACGATGTCCAAGGTGAACGATGATATAGCCGCAGATGGGCCAACGGTGTTCTATGTAACGGCGTGGTAGATTTCGGCATTGTAGGTGGAATTGGTCCGTGGCCAAACCAATTGTAGGAAAGCGTGGATTTCAGATGTGCGAATGTATCGAACGAAAACGACACAGCGAATTGTGTGGCCGTCTTGCGGCGATGTTGCAGGCCTCTTGGGCCCCGTCTTGCAGCGTCGGAAGCCCGAAGGGGCGGGAACGCTAAAATCTTTGAAGCACCGAAGGGAAGTTCATGATTTTTGCCTCTCGGGACCCTCTTTGGGGGGCTCCTGCTTCTTGAGGCGTCTTGGGAGCCTCAAGGGC